GAAGTGAAATTGCTGTTTTATTTTTCTTGCCAAAATGTCTTCCGGAAAAATTGTAGCAACTCCCCCGGCAGTGGTAGTATCTCAGCACGTTCCTTCACTGTTCCTGTGAGCATCCTTCTATCTTGAATCTCTGCTACTTCATGGGTGACCATCGTGGATGTTTTGCTGTGCTGAATTTTGCATCTTTGCGTGTTATGTGTTTATTAGGAATCAGTATTTCATCTTGATGAATGCCCTGGACCTTTGCACATTTCTCCACTGAGGCTTTTAATTTTGGGTATCAATTTGTAAAAGCTCAGTTTTTATATTTTAGCATCCACATTTTCTCAACTTACTGTTAGCATGTTAATTTTTCTATGCTGTTTTTCCGGTAGTGTAACATTTTTATATAGTTAAATGGACTACTATTCTTCTTTATAGTTTTGTCTTTGGTGTTCTCCTCAAATGAATGTCCTGAATCTCATAGGGTACAGATATTTTTAAAATGTATTTTCTTTTATTTTGCAATTTTATGACAAATTTAAATCCCATTGGAATTTATCTGAGGCCTGGATCTAATATTTTTCCTAAATGAATAGTCATTTCCTCTAATACCATTTATTTCATCTTGATTTGAAATGTTACTACCAAATTCTTGGGTCTGTTTCAAGATGCTCTATTCTGTTTTATGTATCTGTCTGTCTCTGCTGCAGTGAAACGTTGGGTTTTAATGCACATGGATGTTTGCATAGGCAGGTCCCCCTCATCTATCTTTTAACTCTAACATGATTATTTTTTCAAATGAACTTTAGGATTATTTTATTATTAAAAAAAAACAAAACTCCTATTGTGAATTTTATTGAAGTTGCCTTAAATCTGTAGATTAATTTGGTGGAAGGATTGAGTTCTTCAGCATTCTAGGTCTTCTGACAGAAACCCAGTTTGCCCAGGTCTTTACAGCTTTCCTACTGATTCTTCATTATTTTATATCTTTGGTAGCTAACAGAACCTTTTGACATTTCTCCCCAACCCATGGATACAAAAATTCAGCTCACTTTCTCTCCTTTTTTCTACCCACCTTTAAGTTTTTGTTAAGATAACTGGATTTTTCATATAAATAATTATTTCTATTATTGTTTTTATATTACTTTACATTTTTTTTAACCTCTCAGAATTTTTTGATGTTTGAGATTAGTTTTATCATGTTAAAACTGTTTAAGTGTTAACTTCTGAATTTTTGTAAATTTTTTCTTCTGTCTTCCATTTTTTACACTCTGATTCCCCTTTCCCTGAAATAATTATTTTGATTTATTTTTCAGCTTCCTGAAGTTCATCTTTAAGTGATTTTCCTTTGGCATTGTCATAGTGAGACAATTATAAATCATAAAAATGATCGTTTTGGTTCTCGTATAATTTCCCTCTAAACTTTGTAGATGAGCTTCTTTTGTGTTCCAGCATTTGAGCACAAGATTGGTTTATTATTAGATGCTACAGAAGTATAAGTAATTCTTTTTGCCTCTGCCTATGTGACAGAAATACTTGAAATTTTTACAATAGTATGTCTAGATAGAACAGGTATTATTATAATTATTATTTTGATAATGGGATGCTCATTATCTGCAAAAACATACATTTAAGGAGAAGAACAGTTTCTTTAGCAAAAAAAAAAAATGTTCTTTTTACTAGTAGTTTTCCTCTGCACGCTTTTTATGAGAGTCCTAATACTCATGTGCTGAATTTCCTGAAACTTCTTCCATGTTCATCTACTTTACTTTTGCTGTGTGCTACTCTTTATTATTTAGCTTTCAAATCTGGGAAAATGAAAACAGTGAATAAATCATAGACATGTTTTTAGATTTTCAAGTATGTTTTGCTAGTTCCTTTATTAGAAAACAACAACACACACACAGATCTGGTTTCTTTCTATTCCCTTTCACAGGTATATGCTCCCTTTAGTATTGCGGGAGGGAATTAGACAGTCTGTGTTGGACAGACTAGAAAGGACCCAGGTACATGAGCTGTGTAATCTCCTCACCTTGAGTGTGGGCAGAAACAAAGACTTGCTTCTAATTGCCTTATATGGTGAATGCGAGGGATGTCATTCTTGAGACTGTGTGTGTGTGTGTGTGGGTGAATCTGAGTTGTGTGTACACATTTGTCTTGCTGGCATGCACTTGAGTGATGCTCATGGCTGGTTTTGAAGGAGCAGGCTGCCAGGTTATGAAGAACTTACAGAGGAATTACAAAGCCGGGGGCTGGGGGCAGCCCCCAGGACCCCAGGATGGCCTTGGACCCAGAGCTAGAAATGGAATCCTTCAATTCAGACGCAAGGAAATGAATTCTGTCAACACTGCAGACGAACTTGGAAGCAAATTCTGTACCAGTCAAACTTCTGGATGCGAGCACACCCTGCCCAACACATTGTCTGCAGGCTTCTGAGACCATGAGTGGAGGACCCAGCCAAGCTGTGATCAGACTCCTAACTCAGAGAAGCTGTGATACACTAAATGTGCACTTGTTAAAGCCACTCAATTTGTGCTGATTTATAACACAGCAAGAGAAAAGTAATACTCTCTAAATTTACCCACTTTATCTTGATCAGCTCGGTTTTCCAGGTAAATATTGGCTATGATTTTTCACGTGGTCTGTCTCTTGTGAAATTCTCAATCTTTTCATAAACCCAGTGATTATTCACTGAATATTAGTCTATAGGAGGCTTCTGGGAGTGTTGACCTCTAAAGTATTCTAGGCTCAGATAAGCAGTATGGGAATGTCTTAGATTTACTGTAGTTCAGCGTTGCCAGATTGAAGGACCAAATGGCTGATCCTTCAAGGTGGAGGCTTTCGGTCCAGAGTCATTTCCTCTCACTACTCCTAAGGACCTCTTTTTATCATGTTGTTAGGGTAGCCTGGAGTTAGACAAGAGGGATGTTGCCCAGGTAACAAGCACAACTTCCATCACTGGGAATGTAACAGCAGTGCTCTACCTGGAAGATAAAGGCTCCCCAGATTCTGTCGTCATCCTGGTACTCTGGGTCCTGAGCACCTGGAGTCTGCACTCAGGCTTCCACGTGCCTGGGACCTAAGCAAGCCCAGAGCATCACAGAGGGTCCGGCTGGAGGTGGTACCCTCTGCTCTCTCCTCAGATGCTCAGCCACATCTCCCAGAAATTCCTCAGAGCCTCTAATGTTCTGATGATGCCCTTGCCTATTTTCTACCATTTCCTCCCACTTTTATATTCCTTTGCACATCTGAACATTAAATGCGTGGGAGTTGGATCAATCACTCAGGAGATAGTCTTTAAACACTAGAACCCAGATAGTCACCTTGCATGTTAATTACCTACAACTCTGGTGGGCTGTAGCACATGGAAATAGCTTCTCTTTCATGATCTGAAATGAATGTGTGAGCATGAAATGCACTCAACTTTCAGTTTTGGCATTTAAAATTTTTTCTTAATATAAATAATAAGTCCTGCTTAAATCTCATCTATGATTTTAATGGAGAATCTGGTCGTTGTTTTTATCACCCTCTTTGACGGTGGGCTATGTTAGAACAATCCACAGAATCAGGGAGGAACTGCTTATTGATGCTGGTTAGTCTGATGTCCTCCTGAGAGCCCTCAGCACTCTTGAACTTGAAGCCTCTGCTATTACTGAGCTCTCTGGGGTCCCGATGGGCAACAGAAATGCCCTCGGTGAGAGTCTTTCTGATAAACAGATCTTTCCCCTTCTCTCCCATTCCCCTGTGCTTTTTCCTGGGTTTTCTTCCCTCAGGCAAGGTTCTGGCCCTCATCATACACAACAATTCCAGCCCTGCTCTCCACTTTGCAGCTCTAGAAAACCAAGTTAGGGTGGAGGCTTTCTTAAGCCTCCACCTGATCAGAGAAGTCAGCCCTCATCTTTCCCTGCAAATTATCTCTGATTATTTCCATCAGTGGCCTTGGCTTCGATGAGGGCTGTCTTCAGTGTGGTCCTGAGATACAGAGAAGCTTGTGGTCATTACCTCCTAGGGGGCCCAGTCTTCTAGAACAGTGCTGAGAACAGGGGGAAACTCATGAACTGTTTGTCTGAGGTCCACAAAGAGAAAAGTGCAGCAACTTAGAAGCAGTCCTTGGAAAACTTCATGACTTTTCACTGAGTACTACTGGTCTGTTGATTTTAATAATTAAAACTGACTTATTTATATCTTTGATTTTTAAAAATTTTTCTAGTAAGTCATTTTTATTTTGGAGAAGGAGATGGCAACCCACTCCAGTATTCTTGCCTAGAGAATCCCATGGACAGAGGAACCTGGTGGGCTGCTGTCCATAGGGTCACACAGAGTCAGACATGACTCAAGTGACTTAGCATGCATGCATGCATTGGAGAAGAAAATGGCACCCCACTCCAGTATTCTTGCCTGGAGTATCCCAGGAATGGGGGAGCCTGGTGGGCTGCAGTCCATGGGGTCGCGAAGAGTCGGACACGACTGAACGACTTCACTTTCACTTTTCACTTTCATGCACCGGAGAAGGAAATGGCAACCCACTCCAGTGTTCCTGCCTCTAGAATCCCATGGGCGGGGGAACCTGGTGGGCTGCCGTCTATGGGGTCGCACAGAGTCGGACACAAATGAAGTGACTTAGCAGCAGCAGCATTTTTATTTTAGTCTACAAGAGTTTCTTCGCCACAGTGAGTCTGAGAACGATGTGCAGGAAACAAAACCTGCTGCTGTCCCTGTGGAGTTGGAGGGCAAGGACAGGGGAAACCAAATTCCATTTAATTCTTCCTGAGTCTACACGTGCACTCATTTGTGTCGGACTCTCTGCAACTCCTTGGACTGTAGCCCGCCAGGCTCCTCTGTCCCTGGAATTCTCCAGGCAAGGGTGCTACAGTGAGTCACCTTTTTCTTCTCCGGGGAAGCTTCCCCACCCAGGGATTGAACCCAAGTTTCTTGTGTCTCCTGCATTGGCAGGTGGATTCTTTACTACTGTACCACCTGGGAAGCCCCTTCCTGAGTCTAGAACATGAAAAATAACCATGACTAAAAACACCAGCGTCTCAGGATTAAAGCATTCTATTGGCCAATTACCCATTGTCAGAATTGAAAGGAACAGGTATGGGGAAAACTATCAGGAGCAAGAACATCTCAACATGACATTTCCACTTCTGAAAGGGGAAGCAAATGAAACTCTTTACAACCTGATGTCTTTTTCTCGAATACGTCCTCAGCTGAACAAAATGAATCATGTTTCCATAACACTTCTTTTCTGCATCTTTGTATATGAAACAGCATTAAAAAATATATGTATTGGTAATGCATAGATCTTGGCTAAATCAGGTTTTTCTTATACCTTTAATTTCCAAAAACCAAGACTATTCTCTCTTAGGAGGTAAGTTATAAAATAGTTTCTTAAATTGTTAATCAAGAAAAGTTAATAAAAATTTTGCCCATCATTACTATTTAGACTGTACTATTGGCAATTTTCAAGAGAGGCATTTGAACTTTTTTTTTTTCAAAATCTAACTACTCATATTTTGTAAATTGTGTTTTTGGTATCCAGCTTGAAGCATAAATGTAATTAGGACAATTTTAAATATATTAACGTTTTCTAAAATACTAAAAACCTGAAAACCAGTGGATATAAATAGCATATTTTATATAAACGATAGTTGTGTAAATGGTGATTCAAGACAAAAAATTACTTAGGTAGATCTCAAATCTTTTCATATTTAGCAAATGATAGCTGATAATTTGAAAACGATCTATGCCCTAGTTATAGGGGAAAAAAAAATCCTACTTTGCATTTCTTTTTCTAGCTTTCTGCTCCTGTGGCTCCTGGTTTGGCCACACTGAGTGTGCAGGGATTCTATGGTTCCAGGTGGCCTGTTTGTGGTCACAGCGCTTTCTTGCTAGGCAAGGGGGTGCTGGAGCTTCTCCTTGAGGATGGTCTTGCCTAACTCAGCCTTGACCACATAAGGTTTTGGGGAGGCTGTTTCTGTTGCCCCAGCCACAAGAGCTTAATGAAAACGAGCTCTTCAGGGGACAGGCCACATCTCCCCGAAGCCTGCCCTTTGCCTTCAGCACCCACCAGGGATCTCCCTGAGTCTCCTTTTGGTTCCATGGCTCCACCGCCTGACGCTTCCAATCAGGAACACATCGACAAGTCTCTCTGCACAGCACATGTGCACAATCCTTTGCAGAAAACAAAAGAAAGCAAACTGCCACCAGGCTTCAGTTAAGGACTTTGAAATCAGTTCAAATCGAATGTTCCAATCTGGAGCTGCACCTGGGAGGTACAAAGCTTAACTTGTCATCACAAGACAGCGTGGATAATCCTCAAGGCCTTCCCTAAACTTTCAAGATCATCAGGAGTCCATTGATCTAACTTCTTCCCTTCTGTTCTGATGAACAGATTTCTGAATTCTTTTTAGCCTAGTCCTTGGATGCCAAGGAGAAAAACTCAGCGAGTGCCCTTTCTCCTTACCTGATAGACAAGGGAGGTGTCGGTCATGGTAAATTCACCCTCTTACGTAACACAAATGGAAAATACATAGACATATATAGGCATTTCTTTAATTTGGAAAGTTTCCCTTTTTGGTCTGAAAATATCCAGTAATTCTAACAATGATAGGTTTACTTGAATTTCATACAGTTGCACTGACAAGTGTCTTCTACCTGGCCTTAGGTATGTAGACTTCTAGGCCATGGACCAACACCAGACCCACTCTGCTGAAGCCCAAGCTTAAAGTCACATCACAAGGGTTAATAGTGGGTGACAATTGAAAGGGCCTCTGTGACAGTGTATATCAGGATAAGGGGTTTAACCTTTGCCAGATAAAATGGCATTTTTATAGCATGGAAATTCTGACACATTTACAATGTTCTGTTGATCTCAAATCCACTGGAATTTGTTTTTCCTTTCATGTCTGCCCAAGCAGAAGAAACACTTAGCAGAAAGAAATCTTATCAGACTTCAAGTTAGTTACTTTCAGTTCCAATAATTGTAGATTTCAGAGTATCAATTTCTGGTGCTCTAAAGCATGTCCACCTTTTTGCTTCTACAAATTGATTAAGCTTTTTATTTGATATCACAGGAGCCTCTGGAGAGTTTTAACCTATATTTCAACGTTTCAAGAAATTCATACCCACAAGATATTTTTGCTGGACAATCTTCAAGGTCATTAATATAATGCTTAGAATCCCACTTTTCAGCTGAAAGTGGGATTAATCAGAATCTTTCTCGTGTCTCCTCAGCATGATTCAAAAAGTGTTTTGCCTTTTAAGTTCCTAAGAAAGTCAGCCTTTATTAAATTTCTTTTGCACCTTTAAACACAGATAGACAAAGGGATTTTATGACAAAGTATGATAAAATCGATACAGTAAAATAATAACATAAACTAAACCAAAAAGGTCAAAATTGTAAATGCTGGTGGAAAAATGTTGAAGAAACATTTTGAAAGTGCTTTAAATGGTTCTATCTACAAATATATCCCAGAAACTTTGATGGGAATTTAAATATATTTCATTTATATTATTTAAATTAATATATTTAAATTAGGTATATAAGTATATATAAATTATATACATATATTATATATAGATGCTTCCCAGGTGGCACAATGGTAAAGAATACACCCACCAATGCAGGAGATGCAGGAGACATGGGTTTGATCCCTGGTTTTGGAAGATCCTCTGGAGGAGGAAATGGCAAATCACTCCAATATTTTCACCTGGAAAGTCCCATGGACTGAGAAGCCTGGTGGGCTACAGCCCACAGGGTTGAAAAGAGTTGGAGACAATTGAGCAACTGAGCATGCACACATTACATACAGATATATTATAGAATACATATCATGAGTAAATTTTATATATATATAAAATATATATATAATATATATATTTTATATATATATATATATCTGTGTATATGTATATATGGGCTTCCCTGGTGGCTCAGATGGTAAAAAATAGGCCTCCAGTGCAGGAGATCTGGGTTCAGTCCCCGGGTTGGGAAGATCCTCTGGAGAAGGGAATGGCTACTCACTTCAGTTTTCTTGTCTGCAGAGTCCCACAGACAGAGGAGCCTGGCTGGCTATAGTCCATGAGGTCACAAAGAGCTGGACACGACTGAGCAACTAAACACATATGCACGCACACACACACACACGTATGTATATGTGTATATATATATGTATATATACATATATTTCATGTAGAAGCTCTTTGAGGATAGAGGAGGTAAAGATAAGCATTTGGAAATGTCTAGGTCACCTGTGGTACACCTTTTCCTAGCACAGGATACAGTAATAAATAAGTTTGCCTGTATTCTCTGGCTCAGTTTATCCTTCAAAGTGACCTGAGAAACAATGAAAGATAAAGAATTAAATGTGAATCTGGAAAACTAGAGGCCATATTTTAGTTACTATGACCATTCACATTTCAGAGAATAAAACCTTACAAAACAGCCCCATGACCAATCACTGGGTAACATTGTGGAGGGGAGCCTGCTGAGAAGGGTGGTTGTTTGCAGCTGCTTTGAGAAACGCAGTCATTCCATCACATAAAGTAATTCAAGGCACTCCATTATCATGAGGATGTCTTGCCCATCCTTCTTTAGATATATTCAGATGAAGACTAAGAATGGTTAGAGAAAAATTACACATCAAAAGCTACTTAGCTAATTAAGATACTTAGATTTTAAGCTCATTCAACCTGCTGAAGTGACAGCAGCTTGAAGATTCTTCAAGCGACTTAACTATTCAGTTCTAATGAGATGAGAATGCCATACCTTTCACTTTCAACTGATGTGGTGTACATCTATATCTAAAATATATCTCTTTGGTTTGTTGTTTTTTAATCCACTATTATAACTTTTGCCTTTTAATTAAGGATTTTTAGTTCATTTAACTTTAATGTAATTATGGATTACTTTATGTGAACTGTGAACTTCCAGATGTTCAAGCTGGTTTTAGAAAAGGCAGAGGAACCAGAGATCAAATTGCCAACATCCGCTGGATGCAAGAGAGTTCCAGAAAAACATCTATTTCTGCTTTATTGACTACGCCAAAGCCTTCGACAGTGTGGATCACAACAAACTATGGAAAATTCTTAAAGAGATGGGAATACCAGACCATCTGACTTGTCTCTTGAGAAACCTGTATGCAGGTCAGGAAGCAACAGTTAGAACTGGACATGGAACAACAGACTGGTTCCAAATAGGAAAAGGAGTAGGTCAAGGCTGTATATTGCCACCCTGCTTATTTAACTTGTATGCAGAGTACATCATGAGAAACACTGGGCTGGCTGGGCTGGAAGAAGCACAAGCTGGAATCAAGATTGCCGGGAGAAACACTAATAACCTCATATAAGCAGATAACACCACCCTTATGGCAGAAAGTGAAGAGGAGCTAAAATGTCTCTTGATGAAAGTGAAAGAGGAGAGTGAAAAAGTTGGCTTAAAGCTCAACATTCAGAAAACTCAGATCATGGCATCTGGTCCCATCACTTCATGGTAAATAGATGGGGAAACAGTGTCAGACTTTATTTTGGGGGGCTCAAAAATCACTGCAGATGGTGATTGCAGCCATGAAATTAAAAGACACTTATTCCTTGGAAGGAAAGTTATAACCAACCTAGACAGCATATTATAAAGCAGAGACATTACTTTGCCAACAAAGTTCTGTCTAGTCAAGGCTATGGTTTTTCCAGTGGTCATGTACCGATTTGAGAGTTGGACTGTGAAGAAAGCTTAGCGCTGAAAAATTGATGGTTTAGAACTGTGGTGTTGGGGAACACTCTTGAGAGACCCTTGGACTGCAAGGAGATTCAACCAGTCCATCCTAAAGGAGATCAGTCCTGGGTGTTCATTGGAAGGACTGATGCTGAAGCTGAAACTCCAGTACTTTGGCCACCTCATGAGAAGAGTTGACTCATTGGAAAAGACCCTGATGCTGGGAGAGATTGGGGGCAGGAGGAGAAGGGGACGACAGAGGATGAGATGGCTGGATGGCATCACCAACTCGATGGACATGGGTTTGGGTGGACTCCGGGAGTTGGTGATGGAAAGGGAGACCTGGCGTGTTGCGATTCATGGGGTCACAAAGAGTTAGACAC